ATGAAGACATTGGCTGATAGCAGCACTTCAGGTGTCACACGTCTTGCATGAATCACAGCTGACACCACGAAGCACCTGTCTGGCAATGGAACCACTGACATAGGCTATTGAGAACACTTCCATGTCACCAGCATGTACTGCAGCAACCATGTCCTTCTGTACTTGTTGAGTAACATGGAAACTCAGGAAATTCATCAGGGGTTTCCTTGCCACAACTTGTGGATGGATTTGGTGAAGAAGCATCAGGTGCCCTGAACAATGACTATAGGTTACACACAACAGTAGCACCATCATCCTCACAACTAGTTCCACACAGACCTCTGATAGCAAGTGCACTGATGATGTTAGTCTTCAGGGCATCTACAAACTGTCCCACAGTTGGATTATTGTTCAAACCAGACTACAAACGAATAGCTTCAAATGTGTTCACAAGGTGATCACCAAACAGCTGTTGCCAGGTATTCACCACAGCACCCCACTGAAAGAACATTAAAAAGGAAATTAGTGGGCTTCCTTACACGATGGACTTCTTCAGATTTGAAAATAACAAACTTTACTTGAAAGGGACTGCCATTATATAGATTTTGTATATTTCATTAAATTATTCCTCATAGCAGTCATCACCACCTTATTCTCTTATAAATCATATTACTGATAGTGTGATCTGCTTTTTCAAACATTTTTAATTACCCTAAAAACATTTGACATATCCTACATAACTTGTGTATTGATAAGTTTGTATTGTAGCATCCTGTTGCACTCTTCCATTTTATTATAAATCTTATTTTACAGTCTTATGTGAAACTTTAGGTTTAACATTTAAAACTTAAGTTGCATATAAGACAGTAAAATAAGATTTATAATAAAATTGTATATTGATGTAGTTTCATAAGTAATGAATGATGACAATGACATTTGTTTGATCATTAACTGGGTTCTTGGGACAATTAGCTCTCATTATTCTCGCTAGCCACTTCTCTCATAACAGAACATAATTCATGGTATAGAGTGCAGTGGTCCTTACCTGTAGCCAATACAGTGTTGTGGCTTGCTGCAATGATTGATATGCCTGAGTTCCCCAGCAGAAGCATTTATATTTACAGGGCTTAGGAGAAACTAGGTTTCTTTCACTGCAAAAGTTGGTGGCTGCTGTGGTTAATGGTTGCACTGCAAACATTTTAAAGGAAGT